ATTCTGGCTAACTTGTCAACCAATCAGCATTCAACTGATAAATAGGTCATCTGTGTCTACCAATGTGCAGTTGGAATTTTGGAGGACTGCATGAGGGCATGTTTGGGGAAGCTGTCCATGTAGAAATCTGTATGGAAACTCGCATACCCAATACCGTAAAATATGCATAAGGTACCACCAGAAGCAAGAGCCATTTCCCGCAACCTTCTATAGAATAAGAAGTCTTTTGGAAACTCCAGGTATTGCCCCTGGTGGCTGTTAAATAGAGTGCAGGGTTAAGAATGGGTTAAGGTGTCTCTTTTTAGACATGGAACCTAATCTTTGTGCAGACAGATAGGTGGTTAACTGTCAATTGAATTAGCTTGCTATCCTATCTGCTGCTTCACCATTTCATCTGTCATTACTGTGAAGATAAGGTGAAGAATGAGACTTTGAGATATTCCTCAAGCTTCTGAAACCAATAATGCATAGCTTAATTATAACAATTTTCACAAAAATCAGATCTGGACTGGCTGGGATGAGCTGGGAACAAACAAACTACAAAAATAATAATAAAAAAAAATTACAGGGTGTAAATTGTGCCGGCTAAATCTTCTTGTCCTTAGCGGGCGACCAGTGGCGGTGGTCTGCCGCGCAACCAGAATGCTGCTGTATGTAGGTGCCGCAGGTTCTCTTGCTTGACCAATGATTATCTTCCACGCTTTTCGATCTAAGGCGATGGTTCTTGCCTGCTCGAGGTCAAGTCGAAGGGCCTTCAAATCATCCTGGATTTGTTTCATCCATGTCTCTTTGGTGCATTTCGATGGGGCGGGTCAACCAGAGTAGGCCATGGGGGTAGCGGCTCGGCAGCTAAATAGTTACTTAAAAAAAAAACTTCAATGTTATACCGTGTAACATTCAGATGAATATGCTGCGGTTAGATTGGAAAAGAACACTTTAAATACCCCAGCTCCCTTCAGAAAAAGGCCTAAATGTTGGCAGACATGACTTTAAGTAATTAAATAATCTATATTTCCAGCAACAAGTGATAGACACATTAATGAATCTATAATTATGATCCAGTAATATTAGATAATCAGGATCATGATGTCCACTGGATTATTTATCCTGCAGAAACTGGGGCTATTACTTTTTCTCATCATCTGTTTACAGGCACAAAAATCTTTACTACTTGATTAACGGGCTCAGCGAAGAGTGCTGAGTCCATCGACGTCTCTGCTCATCTCATCAGATCTCAGAACAAATGCTGTGTAAAGCCCCACTGATTGGGCCTTGTGATTCCTGTTTAGGCTGTTGATTGTCTCTTTAGGGAAGGAAGTGAGATGAGACCATGTTTTGCATTAAGGTATTCTCCTCAGTTTTTTTGTTGTAGTCAGGATTCTTTGAGAAAGTAGCAAAAATACATCCACACTGTATTTCTATAAATATGCTTGGTTATAGTTCATTTAAATCTTATATGAGTAACAGGGTAAATGAGTAAATTAAACTATTAATTTTTCCTGTGTAAACAATCACCATCTGTAGATATGTTCATTTTATTATCCGCAAATTATATTGGTGTCTTTGTTGGCTAAGGATTCCAGCCAGTCCACTAGATTAGGCGATAAAGTGATTACAATTTCAGGATGATTAAATTGGTGTTAGCTATTTATTTCCAGTGCGGAATTACTGTTATTATTTGTTAAAATGTGTGTATTTATGTTTTTGTGTTTTAGGTATCCTTGAATACAGTGATGACACAGCCATGGCACGCTGTGTGGCTCAGTCTCTACTCACCAGGACTGGCTTTGATGAGCACGACATGGCTCGCAGGTAGAGGAATCATCATCATCTTTATCTAAAATAAGCCTAAAATCACTTCACCATCATCTTCTTCCTTCCTTCTCCTGCATTAAGCCAACTTTCCTCTGATTGGTTGTTCCTTGTAAACCAGGGGTAGGCAACGCCAGGCCTCGACACCTGGTATCCTGCAGGTTTTAGATCTCACCCTGGGTCAACACACCTGAATCCAATGATTAGTTGATTACCAGGCCTCTGGAGAACTTTGAGAAATGTTGAGGAGGTAATTTAGCTATTTAAATCAGCTGTGTTGGATCAAGGATGCATCTAAAACCTGTAGGACACCGGCTCTCGAGGCCTGGAGTTCCCTACCCCTGTTGTAAACAAAAGGTTTAAACAGCAGAAGGGTGGGTCTTCTGTGTACACAGCCAAGAGTAGAAAAATAGTCTCACAGGCGTTATTTGTATTGCAACAAATTAATTTTTGGAAACTTTGCACATGTTTAATGTGAGGCTCCACATTTGGAGCAGTGTGTATATATGATAGAAAATAAGGAAAAGGATTTAAGGAGTTAAATATGGATCCAAAGGCTCTTTGGGTAAGCTGATGATGGTTCCTACCTCGGTGACTCACCATTTTTAGGTTTGCAAAGGAGTACAGTGCATCCCCACATCGTGGTTATGGTGCTGGAGTGATCCAGGTGTTGAAGAAGCTCTCATCCCCCCAGTTAAATGACGTGTATCAGCCAGCGAGGGACCAGTTTAACGGTCGGGGCTCCTTTGGAAATGGAGGGGCCATGAGAGCAGCTCCCTTTGCCCTGGCCTTTCCGGACTTGTCTGATGTTAAAAGGGTGAGCAGGGGTCTTTTGAATGTTGAGTTTTCTCTCTCCAATGGATCGGATAGAAACAACATCTTTAAATTTGCTCTTTTTCTCTGCAGTTTGCCCATCTGGGCGCCATGCTGACGCACTCCTGCTCGCTGGGTTATAATGGGGCGGTGCTGCAAGCGTTAGCTGTGCACCTGTCTCTGCAGGGGGCACTGGACTTGCCTCACCAGTTCATCAGCAGGCTAATTAAAGAGATGGAGGAAGTGGAAGGTGATGAGACTGCACGCAATGATGCAAGAATGTGAGTAGACTGGTCAGAGGCAGCGAAAGCAAACAGGGTTTTTCCTCCAAAGGAAAACATTGTAGTTTTTCTGTAACTTATGTTTTTTATTTGAGGTTTTATTCCCTGAAGCATAATAGACATTTATCTTACAAGTCTTTGTCATACAAGGTAACTCAGACTCAATTACTTTTTAAATTAAACTTTCACATCAAAAGGCTAATTCTGAGTCAGAAAAAACAACCGTAGGAGGGATTTATGTCTTTCAAAATGTGTTTTTAAAGGTTGAAACATCCCTTTTCATGCTGTGTGAGATGTATATATTTTTAATGTATGCTTTTGCAGTTTAAAAGAAGCAGAGAAGCCATTCTGTGAACGTCTCCACCGAATCAGAGACCTGATGGACAGGAGCAAAGTTAGCATAGAGGAAGTCATCTCTGAACTGGGTCAGTATGATTATTTATTGCTGATGAGGAGGGGTATGTGATCTAGTTTGTTTGTTTTCAGGATTACGGAAATGTTTATTTAAAGAATTCCATAAGAAAGGTTTATTGACAGATTTTGGGTTTGATCTAAAATTAGAGGTGACTTTAAGAGTCAATCTGAATCTGGATCTGGGTTTTTTTAGGAAGTGTACATGCAAAATTACATTTAGATTCATGAAGCCTGCCCAGTTTTGTTCATACCACCGTGCCCCTGTTACAGAATCAGTCATTCAAAACCACCACTCTGACTATTACTGCCATCTGCCACGCCCACAGTGAGACTGTGTTGGGAGCTGAATATCAGAGGGGGAGCAAAATTTAATACAGAGGGGTTATTACCAACTTGGTTGAATAAGCCATCATCAAATAAACACTGTAAAGACAAAGAACATGATAAAAAAAAAACCCCACCATTACTATATATTTTTAAAATTTTAGATATATTTCTCCTGATTTATTCTAAGTAAATTTCCCCATCTTATTTATCTTTTAGTATATGAGGAAGTATTAATGGGGGTTAGGGAGCAAGCCACATGTGCAATAAGGTCCCGATCCACTTCCTTTTTTACATAACATTTCCTGTTTCTCTTGACTGCCACCACAAAAACACGCCCCTCTCTTTGTGACTTTTACCAGGTAATGGCATTGCAGCTCTTCACTCCGTCCCCACTGCAATTTTCTGTGTGCTCCACTGCCTGCAACCCCGGGAATGTCTCCCAGAGAGCTACGGCGGCGTGGAGAGGACGATAGCGTACAGCCTGGCGCTGGGAGGGGACACTGATACCATAGCCTGCATGGCTGGGGCCATCGCGGGGGCCCACTACGGCATCGAGACCGTCCCTCAGTCCTGGATAAGGTGCTGTGAGGGGGTGGAGGATGCAGACCAGTATGCAGAGAGGCTTTACAAGCTGTACCACCAGTCACCACTGGGGGGCAAAGGCGAGACAGGCGAGCAGAGTGGCGAAAACAGGTCAACTGCTGCTAATGGCACAGAGAAGAAAACTGGAGTAGAGTGATGGATCAGTCAGATTGTCATTAAAAGACTTTCACACACATAAAGAACGCGTAAAAAAGACTTTAAATTTTGTTTTGTTTGGAAAAGCTTTTTTTTTTTTTGGATCTTAATGGTATTAAATAATTTAAGCTTTGAGGAAGAAAGTGATTTTTCCAAACTGTCAACATGAAATTTATTAAGTATCTGAAAATTAGAGCTGAAGAAAATTTCCAGTCTTAATTTTGAGAATGTGGCTTTTACACAAACTGCCAAACTTCTCTGAACGCCAATCCAAAAGTGGTCTAAATATGAATAAACAGCATATTCATACACGCTCTTTTCCTTGCTTTCCCCTGATTTATGTCCTGTCTCGTGAAAGTTGCACTATAAATTGACAATGTCTTGTTTTAGCAATTTGGTGAAAAATATTTAATAAACTTTTTATTTTCTTTTTAATTCACACATCTGTACGAGTGTTCTCAGACCCAAAAAGCACATCTACTTCATGAAGATCTGCTCCATTCAGATGCTTTTGTGATGCTTATTCACGCAAACTTGTAGCGAGTACAGACGAATACAAACAGAATCTGAATATTGCAAGAAATCAGGAAATGTCAGGAGCACTAAGTTCGCTGATATGTTTGAAATACTTTATTTTTTTGTTGATTATAAAGTGACAGCAAGGTATGACTGACATGCAGTAAATGGCAGAGCTGTAAGGTCCCCTGCAATGCTGAATTATAGCGTGTTTTAGTGTTTATTGTATTAAAAAAAGATAATCAATGTTTTTCAATGACAAATATGGATTTGTGTCCCCCTGTAAATCTTAATGAATTTTGAACTTAAACATCTTGCAAACGATCTTTTACAATGAGCTTAAATGAAAGTTGTGAATTTACAATAACATCAATTTAAAAATGCAAGTAAAACACTTTAAATGCACCTTTAAATAAAACAGCAACACTGCATTATCAGATGTAATTTAACATGCAAGGATAATTCATGGAAAAAGGCTTATTTTATTGGTAGCTTTCAGTTATCTGCATGTTATCCATGTGTGTTCAGTAGAAATTACAGGTTTTTGTCTGCAGGGGCGACCTCTAAGAAGAGCTGCAAGAACACTGTTAACTTGTCCAGCACTCTTGGGCAGAGCTTGTAATGGATGAAGGGTATGTAGAGTACAATGCCACTTGAGATAAATAAAGCCACGTAGAGGTACTCAATCTGAGGATTGTCTATGATGGGTGCCAGCACGAGGAATATCGCTGCAATGAGGACCAGTATAGGAATTACAATGGGAACCTGTGGGGAGAGGAATAACCAGGCGTGAGGACAAGATGTTATTGTCATTTAATGTGAAAACAATGATGACACTAACCTTGTACGACCTTGGGAGGTCCTTCTTCTTGATTTTGAGATAGATGAGCCCAGACAGGACAATGGCATAGAAAAACCAGGCACTAAAACTGAAAACGGCAGAGGAAGAGAAATTAAAGACAAACAAAAAAAGCAATGTGTGCTAAAAAAAAAAAAAAACCCAAACAAAGTAGAAATGGAGCAGAAACAGAGTCAGCCTTCACCTGAAGTAGTTGACGATACTCTGAAAGTCTCCAGGAATCAGCACCACCAGAGAGATTATTGTGGTGAAGATCAGCGCCGGAGATGGAGTCAGTCTGTGGACGTGGGCCATGGACAGAATATCTGGCTGCAAAACCAGCACTGGTCTGTGTAAAAATCTGTACGTAGCTTTATTTTAAACAGGTGTGTGTGTTCTTATAAGACAGAGAGACTGTTACCATGTGTCCTTCCCGGGCAGCAACAAAGCACACACGGCCGCCGCTGAAGAACGTCCCGTTTAGAGAACCGAAAGCTGACAAGGCTGCGGCCACAGACATGACCCAGCCCCAGCTGCCCAGCACCTTATTCCTGCATGAAAACCGTTTGTATTATAAAAAATCTTGTAGTGCATATCAATCAACCCTTTTCTATATACATTTCAGTAATTTAACAAATTAAATCAAAAACATCTTCTGTGGACATATTTAGGAATAAACCTTTTGGACAGGATGTGACGTCACCTCAATGTAATATTTGTCTTGAAAGGTGTTGAATGGGGCCTTTGCTGGTGTGACCAGGTTTAACACTACAAACATCTGTTCTGAGGCCCCTTCTGCCTATATAACAATAATAATAATAATAATGATGATAATACATTAGACTTGTAAAGCGCCTTTCAAGAAACCCAAGAACGCTTTACAAAACAGAATAAATAAAAAAGGCTTAGAGATCGAAGGTTTTATTGAAGAGGTGAATTTTGAGAAGTTTCTTGAAGGACTCCAGTGACGGGTTGTTGAGAAGTTCATATGGGAGAGAGTTCCAAAATGACACCCAGATTGCAAACGTTGAAGGAAGGCCAGATGAGGAAACCATCTATATCAGGGGTAGGCAACTCCAGGCCTTGCGTGCGTGCCTGTGTCCTGCAGGTTTTAGATCTCACCCTGGGTCAGCACACCTGAATCAAATGATTAGTTGATTACCAGGCCTCTGGAGAACTTCAAGACATGTTTAGGAGGTAATGTAGCCATTTAAATCAGTTGTGCTGGGTCAAGGACAAATTTAAAACCTGCAGGAAACTGGCACGCGAGGCCAGCAGTTGCCTACCCCTGGTCTATATCAATAAGTAGATGGCCAGTCTTCTGGAGTAGGGCTTTAGGGGCCTCAACCAAGACCTCTGTGTTATTACTGTTGAGCTTGAGTAGGTTAATTGACATCCATATTTCTATTTCATGCAGACGGTTGAGAAGTGATCGTGGGGGAGCAGGGTAGAGGGTTTAGTACAGAGATAAAGTTGTGTATCATCAGCATAGGAATGGAAGCAGAGACCATGGCGGTGGATGATCTGACCAAGGAGGAACATAGAGACGGTGAAGAGAAGGGGTCCAATATCTCTTGGTATTTGTGTGACACCAGAAGTGAGCACCTAACTGTAGTGATGCTCTTTGCTGCCATTCCTTCTATGTTTGAAGTGTTTGGAGGCGACTCTTAAGTAATTTTCCTTACAGTGGATTGATGAGTCTTGCGAGAAATCACATCAACTGTGTAAGATAAGTTTCATAATTACTTGCACAGTGGGCAGATTTAAATTGCCTATTAATCACCTATTAATCCCACTGGATGATTTAATCTCTGGTATCAACATGGCAGGGAGCTAAAATGCTAATACAGAGGATTCAAAATGGAGACAGGATTGCAACATCCATCTTTAAATACAGTTTGTATTTTCAACTTACAAAAGCCCCATTTGTTTGACCATCAGTAATTTTAATGCACATATCAAATGATTGTACAGAGAAGAGGATTTCTTCAGGTTTGCTTCCTGTTCTATGGGAGAAGTAATAAAAAAAAAAAAGATCTTATCAGGTTGAGAACAGGTGTTGTCTTACCCCCAGGTAACTGCTACCGCGCTTGAGGACACGAGCTCTTTAGGCGTCATTACTGCCAGATAGCTCACATTCACCAGCAGGTACAAAGTAGTCACAAGAGAAATGGCTATCAGCACCGCCCGAGGAAGATTCACCTGTACAAAAAAAAGATATGACATGAAATAAAATGTCATGACATGACATGGTTGTAAAGTTTGGCTAAACCTTGATTACACATATTAACAAAGCAGTCTCTCATGACAAAACAAAGCCTCATTGAATATTTACTTTTTTAATACTTTGCCAAACCGTGGGGGGAAATGCTCCCCAAGCAACACCAAGCACCAAGTTTCATGCAGTCAGGACAAGCTGGAACTGCAATTACAACAATCCCAACAATGCCAACTCGTGTACCTCTTTAGTCACCTCAGACACTTTAAACACTGATTTAAGCATTGTAGGGGTATATGTTGGTACAAAGTCAATGAATTACCTGAAACACAAATTCAGAGTTTAGGGGGGAAAAAGGTAAGTGGTCATTTTTCTCAGGATAGCAGCAAGAAAACAATCATATTTCCCAGCAGAATCTTTATCAAAGATTATAAGCTGTATTTTAAAAAATTTAGAATTTAGTCTGCTTGTCCAGAGTTGGTTTTTTCTTAGGTTTCACATTAACAATGAGTTATTTTAGGTTCTGCTCTATAAAACACAGTTGGAGAAACGAAAAATTAAAAATGGAAATGAAAAATTCAAAATAGAGACTATTTTGAATATTTCCAGTCTCCTGGAAATGTCCCTGCAAGCCAAGTTGATTCTTCTGGTGTCCTCAATTCTTTCTCTGGTGTTTGTTCATATTATGTATACTTGTGTCTGGATCTACGTGACCTACATGAAGATTAAAAAAACCCCCTGTACTTTCAGTAAAAGATTAGACAGGGCCTCATCTGAGTGAAGAAAGTAACAGAGTATCTGCATAACAATGTTATCAGAGGAAAGACATGACTTGACCTGGTTCTCCCTTGTGCCAGTTTAAGCAGTCCAACAGAATAACATAAAACTAAGTTGGATATTTACTTTCTTTAATGCTTTGCTAAACCATTTAGTTCTCCAAAGTTGAACTCTACTTTTAATTAAATAGGACTCGAGTCTAAAATAATAGAAAAAAACACCAAGCACCAAGTTGCAAAATGCAGTCAGTGGAAATGGGTTAATTATTATGAACTGGCATGAACAATAAGGACAATCACACTGAAGTTTTAACCATTTAAGATAAGGATAAATTAAGTTTGTCATAAGTTGAGGTATTTTTAAAGAATTCACCAAGTCTTTAAAAATATTAAATTCCTATTTAAACAGTCATATTATTATTGGTGCTGTCAGCGTTAATCTCGTTAAAATGACGTTAATGCCATAACTGCATTAACGTGGCAAATCTCCGTTACCGCCGTGTGCGTGGGGCTGCATGGTGTCAAACATTAACAAGCTAACTGCACTGATTTACAGAGTGTTATATACATCCTGTGTTAGGACAAAGTCAATAAATTACCTGAAATACAAATTCAGAGTTAAGGAAGAAAATATAGCAGCATATAGGCATCTTTTGCAGTAAAGAATCAAATCATTCTGGACAGGTTTTAAGCTGTATTTGAAAAATTTAGCATGAATAAATGCTACTATTTCAGGTCACTTCAGACCCTTTCAGCCTCACCTCTGGTTTGTTCAGCTCCTCAGTCACATAATTCAAGTTGCTCCAGCCACCGTAAGACCAGAGGCCTTGAAGTAAAGCCTTTCCCAGAGTGTTCAAAGAAAACTGAGTTCCTTGAAAAGCATTCTCAATGTTAAAATTTTCCTCGATCACAGTGCTGCTCTGTATGACTTTCACTAGCCCTCCAATTACAATGAAAGTGAGTGAAAACACTTTGGCCACCAAGAAGATCACCTGCACTCTCAGAGCAAATCGGACATTCAGGATGTTGGTAATGGCAACTACCAGAATACTAAAAGCTGCAAAGCATTTCACAGCCAGCTGAGGAGGTGGGCAGCCTGGGTAAAAGGGAGCCATGACATACTGTGCAATGGTCATTGATTTTGCTGCAATGCTGGAAGGTTTCAAAAGCAGGATGAAAGTGATTGCCGCAAAGAAGGCTGGGAATGAACCATAGATCCTCAGGATGTAAGTAAATTCCCCACCAGATTCAGGAATAATGGTCCCAAGCTCAGTGTAGGAGAGAGCTGCAAGCAAAGCCACAACACCTGAAAAAAACCAGATTAACATGCTGGCCCCAGGACTTCCCACATACGCCAGGACATACTGTGGGGACATGAAGATACCGGATCCAATCATGGTTCCAGAAACTATTGCTACTCCACCAATCAATCCAATCTGCCTCTTCAGTTGCAGGCCTTCGTTTTTTGGGGTTTTGTCCGCCATGGTGAGAGAGAGCAGGGAGCACAAAACGACACGTCTACAGAGCAGACTGAGAAAGATCACAAAGAATTCAGATGCTACAAACTGCGTAGAAAAAACTTTCAAAAGAAATCACGTGGTGTAAAATGTACTTGTTTTGCCTTCAATTAAATATTAACTCGTCAGCTTTCTAACTGTGGAAAAAGTGCTAACCACTGCACCAATGAGCCACCAGTTGGTTTGGATTATTATATCCTAAACCAATATCAGTTCTCAGGTTACTACAGTTTGTCCTGGCCTACTCATCTAAATCTGTAAGAAGATAAAAAAAATGCACAATCATGAGTGGAGACGCACAGTGTTGGCATGCTTCATCTTTATTTTGACTTTCTATAAACTACTAATAGTAAATATTGAAAATCTCACTTCTGGATGTTTCACCTCCTCGGTTAAACAATTTAAAGTGTTCCAGCCATCATACGACCACAAGCCCTGATAGAAAGCAATGCCAATGGAGCTGACCCCTGCATTGGTTCCCTCAAATGAGTCCTCAAAGTTCTCAGTGCGGCCCTGGAAAAGCATCACAATGCCTCCCAGGATGATCACCACCAGGGCCACCACCTTCACTGCCATGGTGACCACCTGGATGCCTGTGGCCAAGCGGACGCTCAGACAGTTGATTATAGCCAGCACCAAGATTGATACAGCAGCCATTAACTTCACAGCCAGCTGTGGAGGAGTGCAGCCACTGTAAAAGGGGGCCACAGCATATTCAGCAAAGATGAGAGCGACTCCTGTGCCACTAGCCGGCCTCATGACCATGATGAAGCTGAAGACGAACATGAAGGCCACCACTTTCCCTGCAGTCCGCAGTATGTAAATGTACTCAGCTCCAGACTCTGGTATGATAGTGCCCAGCTCAGCATAGCACAGACCCCCCAGCATGGCTATCAGTCCACAGCAGGACCATATAATGAAGCTGGGGGGGGCTGTAACTAACAAAGGGGTGAAGATTTTGCAGAGGGACACACCGGCCTCGTCTTCCCTTCTAGAAGTGCAGGCTTAAATGAAGATGAATAAAGATGAATAAAGATTTTGTGAAATAACTACTGAGTTCCGGTGCCGTCTCTGGATGCCTCGACGAATAAAAGAACCGGGGTCAAACTGATTTCGCAACAGCTCCCAATAGTGGAAAGGACGTACTGGAGAGAAATGAAGATCCCAGATCCAATCATGGTTCCACCAATGAAGGAAACTGCTACTATGATCCCCACTTCCCTCTGCAGATTGAGTCCATGTGTATCATCTCCCATGTTCAGAAAGTTTTTGTCTTCCTAGAAGCAGCGGACAAGAACACCTGAAGCGTTGTTTGTTACATAAGAGGCGGAGCACACTTAATTATACAGCTACGAAATGAGGCTACTTTTAAGCAGATTTTAAGAATGTCTGCTTGTCCAGAGTTGGTTTTTTTCTTAGGTTTCACGTTAACAATGATTTATTTTAGGTTCTGCTCTATAAAACACAGTTGGAGAAACAAAAAATTCAAAATAGAGACTGTTTTGAATATTTCTAGTCTACTGGAAATGTCCCCGCAAGCCAAGTTGATTCTTCTGGTGTCCTCAATTCTTTCTCTGGTGTTTGTTCATATTATGTATACTTGTGTCTGGATCTGAGTGAAGAAATGGACAGAGTATCTGCATAACAATGTTATCAGAGGAAAGCCATGACTTGACCTGGTTCTCCCTTGTGCCAGTTTAAGCAGTCCAACAGAATAACATAAAACTAAGTTGAATATTTACTTTCTTTAATGCTTTGCTAAACCATTTAGTTAAAAATGCTCTCCAAAGTTGAACTCTAACTCTAGTTGAACTTTAATTAAATAGGACTCGAATCTAAAATAATAGAAAAGAACACCAAGCACCAAGTTGCAAAATGCAGTCAGTGGAAATGGGTTAATTATTATGAACTGGCATGAACAATAAGAACAATCACACTGAAGTTTTAACCATTTAAGATAAGGATAAATTAAGTTTGTCATAATGTGATGCCTCAAAGGCATTTATGTTATTTATCTTTAATGTTTGCTTTAAAATAATTCTTTTGTATGTATTTAAGTTAAAAAGAACAGTAAAAAGAGTTAAAAATGTTAAGAAGCTTTAATTTTGAAGGTGAACTTGCTAATAACCTCACTTCCTGGTGGTTTACCTGGTGGTTTACCTGTATTGCTTCATTTCCTGTTTAATTCCTCTTCCTGGGGAGAGGGACATGCGGTCTTGCTCTGAGGCTTATCCACAGCCATCCACTTGGGAACATTGTTCAGGCAACGCTGTAAGTGTATATATTTCATGATGAAGGTGTTAAAAAGGCATAAATAGCGGTATTTGTTAAAAATTATATTTTGTTTGTGATTCATGGAGGTTGATTTGTACATGTTAAGAAAGGCAGTTTTGATGATCATTACTGTTGCTAAAGCTAACACGAAGGTGTAAGGTCACATTTTGAGTTATTTCGTGATGCAATATTTATGTAAACGATCATTTTTTCCTATTCTGTATTTCTTTTCAACTACAGTTTTCACCGCTTGTCAAATGAAGATTCTGAGTAAAAAGTCAACTCTACTCGGACTCGTGTATTCATTGACAGAGGTTTAGCTTGGTGTTTGATCAGAGTTGCTACACTCTGCAACAGAACACTACAGTGAAAAGGCGGCACTCGATGGTCCTACGTGTTTGTGATGGCAGCAAGCAACAAGTCATCGGTATCAAATACCAGGAGCAACGTGACATCAGCATCATCTGCAAGTGCGGCTCGCGCCAGAGCTAAAGCAGAAGCTGCTAAGGTACGAGCATCATATGCTAGCCAGGAGGCTAAATTAAAATTGGAAAAGGCTGCTAGAGAAGCAGAGAGGAAAACTAGAGAAGCTCAAAATCAGTTGGAAGCAGCTAGAATTGATACAGAGCTGGAAGTGCTAACATTAAATCGTGAAGCAGACGCAGCCATCGCTGAAGCACAGGTGTTAGAAGATGTAGCAGAAATGCATGGAAATGTAGAAAATGTGAAATCTGAGTCAGAAGACAGGCTTAGATTGCATCGTACTAGTGAATATGTTTGCTCTCAAAATGATCAGAATCAGTCTACCTTCGCACCAGTATCTGTCCCACCTGTTAAATCTGTAGACCGTGCAGAATCACAAGACAGTTTCAGAACATGGCATCCACCTGTAAGCTTAGCGGAATTCCAACATAGCAATAGCAAGCCCAAGCCTGAAGTGGATAATGGGACGTATCCACCCACAACAAACCTGTCTAAACTGACCAGAGCTGAATTGAAGACCGACGTCGAAAGAACAAACCCTCGCACGTATATAGGTGCTCAATCACAAACACCCCGGCATATGCGTCCAGTGAGCGTGTCACAACCACCTGACCCTCTGGCACAATATTTGGCGCGACGTGATCTCGTTACGTCAGGACTGTACCAATTTGATGATAAGCCAGAGAATTTCCGTGCATGGCGGTCCTCATTCACTAATGCTGTGGCTGAGGTTCAACTTACAGAAACACAAGAATTAGACCTCATGACCAAATGGTTAGGAAAAGAGTCTGGACAGCAAATAAGATGCATACACTCAGTGCATGTGAATAATGCTGGTTTGGCTCTGCGCAAGACATGGGAGAGGCTGAATGACTGCTATGGTGCTCCTGAGATGATCGAGCAGTCACTGTTTCAGAGACTTGACAGTTTTCCAAAAATTGCAGCCAAAGATCACATCAGATTACGTGAACTTGGGGATTTGCTTATGGAGATACAAGGCGCCAAGGAGGATGGATACCTCACTGGGCTGTCATATCTAGACACCTCCAGAGGTATTGGACCCATAGTAGACAAGCTCCCATATGGGCTCCAGGAGAAGTGGGTGTCATCTGGGTCGTGGTACAAAGAAGAGAATAACGGCTGCTTCCCTCCCTTTAGTTACTTTTGTAACTTTGTCTGTCATGAGGCAAAGAAGCGAAATGACCCCAGCTTTATTCGTCAAAGTAACGGCGCAAACCCCACAAAATCAGAAAGATTACCTATGAAGAGCTTTAACACCAACAAGTCTATCGCAGTTCACAAAACAGATGTCTCTACAATCAACAACGACCCTAACAAGAACTGCGCATTGCACAATAAACCTCACTCACTTAATAAATGCAGGACATTCAGAAACAAGCCCATCGATGACAGGAAGGCCTTTCTAAAACAGAAAGGAATATGCTTCAAGTGTTGTTCTTCAACTTCACATGTTGCCAAAGACTGCAAATCTTCCGTGAAATGCTTAGAGTGTGAAAGCATCTATCATGATGCAGCTATGCACCCTGGCCCACAACCTCAACTCACCAAGGCTCCTCCACCACCACAAGAGAACGGCGGGGAGGGAGAAGATGACTCTAATGTAACTGATGTTAGAACCAGCTGCACAGAGGTTTGTGGCCCCGGCCAGTAGGGTCGTTCTTGCTCTAAGATCTGCCTTGCAAAGGTCTACCCCAAACATTCAAAACACAAAGCCATTAAAGCTCATGTAATTCTGGACGACCAGAGCAATCGCTCATTAGCCAGGCCAGAGTTCTTTGAGCTGTTTGGTGTGGAGAACAAACCACTCTTATACCATCTCAGAACATGCTCCAGCGTCATCGAAACGTATGGCAGGAAGGCAGAAGGATTCCAGATAGTCGTTGAACGGCAACGTTCTCATACCTCTTCCACCACTCCTTGAGTACCCAGAAATCCCTAACAATCGAGCTGAAATCCCAACACCAGGTGCAGTTTTGCATCATCCTCATCTCCACCATATAGCCAAACTCATCCCTGATCTAGACCCAGAAGCAGAGATACTCCTGCTGCTCGGGAGAGACGTGCTTAGAGCACACAAGGTCAGGCAGCAAATTAACGGGCCACACAATGCTCCCTTTGCACAACGTCTCGATCTAGGCTGGGTGGTGATAGGGGAGGTGTGCCTAGGTAATGTGCATAAGCCAACAGTTGACACATTCAAGACCCATGTGCTAGACAGCGGTCGCCATTCCATATTTCAGCCCTGTGCAAGTTTCATGCAGGTCAAAGAAACACAGCCAAGCTTCAACAAGTCTAACAAAATGCCAGAGAGGATGCTAGGACACACAGTGTTTAACCAATCTGAACATGATAACAAACCTGCCCCATCAATAGAAGACATCCTCTTCCTAGAGATCATGGATACAAATGTCTACAGAGATGACACTGGTAGTTGGGTTGCTCCATTGCCGTTCAAAGAACCACGGCAACGTTTGCCAAATAATAAAGAGCATGCGGTTAAGAGGTTTGAATCTTTGCAACGCCAATTCAGGAAG